TAGACTTATCCTCCATGAATCTATCTAGTCCCCTTTTAAAGCTGTTTATTCCTGTGGCCAGGAGCTGCGGTGGCTCAAGTGGTTAAGATGCTGAACTGCAGGCTGTGGAAGGTCGGTAGTTCAGCAGTTCGAGACCTGGGTTGCCGCATGACGGAGTGAGCTCCTGTCTCTGGTTCCAGCTCCTGCCAACCTAGCAGTTCGAAAGCAAGGAATTGCAAGTAGATAAATAGGTATCACTTCGGTGGGAAGGTCACAGCGTTCCGTGCGCCTTGGTGTTTAGTCATGCCGGCCACATGACCACGGAAACGTCTTTGGACAGCGCTGGCTCTTCAGCTTTGAAATGGAGATGAGCACCGCAACCCTAGAGTCGGACTCGACTGGCTTTCGAGCAAAGGAACCTTTACCTTTACTATTCCTGTGGCCATCACTAAACTGAGCCACAAACTGAGCCATGAAACGCTTTTCCATACGCCTACTCTTTAGAACAGTGTTTTTGTCTGTTTGAATGATAGCCTCATGTCCAATCACTTGCAGTTGCAGTCCTTTGGGCGTTGGCCCAGTTCAGGAGGCGGCCCAGGCTGATCCCTGGGAGTGCATCATTCCAGAAGCTGCAGGTTAATTTAGGGCTTCCTCAAAGAAGAATACAGTTTTTCCTTGGGACCACAGGGTTTGAGATGGGGGGGGGGGCAGGCGATTATAATCCCTCCATGCACCAAATTTTCCCTGTTGTCCCTTTTTCCTTGCACCAGTGGATGGAGCCATTCCATTACAGTCCTTTATTTCAAAAGAGTAAAACGGCCATTGTCTGTACGGCCTGCTACCATCTCCTTGGTTTCTGCTGGAAACAGAATGTTGAACTCGAGGGACATTTTGGGTTGATCCAGTCAGAACCAAAAAAGAAGGGTGCGTGTGTGTGCCCACAACCAACCGAGAGAAGGAAAGTGGAATCTGGAAGAGGGTAACTATATAAAGATCATTGTATTTCCCCCCTCTGTTTCTGTCACTTTTTTCTGATCCAGTTAGGATGCTTTTGAAGGAGACAGTTATCTAATCAACTTGACTGTTTATTTTACAGCTACATGTTTCTTTTCGGATCTGCCTGAGAATTTTGGCCTGTTTTTCTGGAGGGTTTTTTTTGTTGCCAGTAATGAGTACCTTACAAGTGGGGGCCCCGCGAGACACACGGGTGTGTGTGTGTGTAATCCCATATTCCCTCAGCATTGCTGAGCTGGTGAGGCTCCAGACCCCACCAACCAGCATTGAGCCTGGCAGCCAGCATCACTCGGCACCTTGGCCCGCAGCACCAGCTGGCTGCTGCACTCGTGCCCAGAGCAGTTGCCAGCGTCCTCGTCTCTCAATATCAATCCCTCAATGGCTGCCAGTGTCTGTCACCATGGCACCCGGGGCTGCAGCGGCTGCCATCGTCCATTGCCGTTGCTGTGCTCACAGTGGCTGCAGGTTTCCACCCAGAGCAGCGGCCTGCGTCCTCTTCAGCCGCAGCGGCAGGCTAGAGCAGTTTCCTGAAGCGCGTTGTCTGCACATATACAATTGTATTCGGGGGCGGTTTAAACCCCCTTTAATTTTTTTATTTCAGATTTTCCTGCAAAGTTGGGATGTTCCCCAAGTTTGAAGAAAGGTCTGTTTAGCCTCTACGTGGCCCCAATCCGTAGATTTAGATATCCGCAGATCGCAGCCATGAGTGGCTAATGGTATATGGGTTTCCAAGCAGTACATGTTCATATACTCCTGGCTGCAAGTGGGTCTTCTGGAGGGCAACGTGGGCCTTGTTCTGTTTTCTGGCCTGGGTACAATGGTTTGCTATTAAGAGGGAAGTGTCAAGTGGATTAAACAAATGTAAGAAGAGCCTGCTGGATCAGACCAGTGGTGCTTCTAGTCTACCATCCTGTTTCACAAAGCAGCCAGCTAGTCACTCTGGAGGACCAAACAGGGAATAGAGGCTGAGGCCTTCCCCTGATGTTGCCTCCTAGCTCTGGTATTCAGAGGTTTACTGCCTCTTTAGAGGCAGCCTCCCACTACTTACCATGTCTAGTAACCGTAGATGGACCCAAACCTTCACAGATCTGTCTAGGGTCTTATCCAGAGTCAAGAGTCCTGTTTTCCCCAGGCATCCAGCCGGATCCTTCTCAGAAGCCCTCAAACAAGGTATGATGGCAACTGCTCCGCCCCTCGGGTATGTCCCGCAGCAGGGATACAATGGTTTTGTTTCTGTTATGTTCTTATTGAACATATGGAGCAGAGGACCATCCATGGCTATTAGCCACACGTTATAGATGGAGCACCCTGTCAGGGGCAGTGATGCTCTGTATTCCTAGCAATGTTCCCTCTAAGCTGTGGAGTTTTGTGAGCAAAGAGTCTACTTTGTGAGCTCCTGGCATTAAAGTTGTGAGCGAGCGATTTGGCTACTGCATAAATTAGTTTGCTCTGGAGCCCTCCTTCCTGAGCGAAGACAAAAATGTGTGAGCCAGAGGTTAAAAAATGGTGAGCTAGCTCACACTAACTCAGCTTAGAGGGAACACTGATTCCTAGTGCTTGGGGGGCAACAGTGGGAGGGCTTCTGGAGTTCTGGCCCTACTGGTGGATGGTGCCCTGATGGCCCCTGGGCTTTGGCCATTGCGTGACACACGATAGACATGATAAATTCTACATGAAACAAGAGAGCACAGTTTCAGTCCAGTGACACATTTAAGACCAACAGAGTTTAATCCTGGGTATGAGCTTTCGTGTATCTGAAGAAGTGTGCATGCTAGGGATGTTAGCCTCCGAGTGGGACCCGGGGATCCCCTGGAATTACATCTCATCTCCAGATTACAGAGATCAGTTCCCCTGGAGAAAATGGGTGCTTTGGAGCATTCACCAACTCTATGGTATTGTACCCCACTGAGGTCCCTGTCTTTCCCAGGCTCAGTCTCCAAATCTCCAGGACTTTTCCAACCTGGATTTGGCAATCCTAAACCCCCCATCCCATGCCAGTGCCCAGGAGGGACCTGGTAACCCTAGAACACACAGAGCTGAATTAAGTTTTGTGGTTCTTTGGTAGTCACACAGCCTCCTTCGGGCCACTGGTTGCCCTCAGCTACACGCTTTAAAAAAAGAAAAAGGCTTGAATCTTCTTACTAATACTCCTTTGAGCTGGACTTGGATGACTTATCTTTTTGGGTGGGTAAGTGTCCTGAAGCGTGCTGTCTTTGGGGCCCTTTCTTTTGCAATGACCCTTTAACTGCTGTAGATGTTCTGAGAGAGAGAATTCTAGCTAGTGTGGGGTGTAAGGTTTGGCCATCCTGTTTACCGTTCAAGGGTAAAACCCAGATGGTTTTGCAAAGTAATTCTTTACGAGGTGACAGACAACAGCCATGAAAATGAGGAATGGTGTGTAAGTGATCCATGTCTGAATCCAGACAGACGACCACAAGGAGCATACCCTAGAGCAGTGGTGGCGAACGTATGGCACGGGTGCCAGAGGTGGCACTCAGAGCCCTCTCTGTGGGCACACGTGCCATCGTCACAGCCAGGCCCAGACCATCATTAAAGTGTCGAATTTTCTGCCAAATAATTTTAAGTAAATGAAAGCATTTGGGATTGCTTTCCTTACTTTGTTTGGATCATCTTAAGTTAATGTAGGAGTTGTTTTTTCTAAAGTAAAACCTCAGTATTCAGATTAAATTGCCATGTTGGCACTTTGCGATAAATAAGGGGTTTGGGTCACAGTTTGGGCACTCGGTCTCTAAAAGGTTCGCCATCACTGCCCTGGAGGTTCCAATCCTGGAGGAGATCCTGGTTGTCCTGTTTTGGAAAAGGGAGGACTCCCAGAGAGAGGAGGGGGGGGGGTAATTTGCTTCAGCTCTGCTTCACTAAGGAAGAGGGCTGTCAGTGCCCAGGGTTCTGCATAAAAGACGGGCTTTGAGCAAGGACAAAGAGTTTGGAGGGACAATTTTAGTTATAAGGGGCAGCCAGTGAGAACGGTGGGATTGTCAACCTCTAGGTGGGGCCTGGAGATCTCCCAGAATTACAACAGATCTCCATACTAAAGAAAATATCTGCTTTGGAGGGTGGACTCTGTGGCATTATATCCGGCTGAGGTCTCTCCCCTCTTAGGGATGCCAGCCTCCAGGTGGGACCTGGGGACCCTCCAGAATTACAGCTCATCACCAGACTACAGAGATCAGTTCCCCTGGAGAAAATGGATGCTTTGGAGGGTGGCCTCTGTGGCATTGTACCCTACTGTTGTCCCTGTCTTTTCCAGGCTCTGTCCCCAAATCTCCAGGAGCTTCCCAACCTGGAGATGGCAGCCCTGCCTCTGATCCCCCTCTGGTGGCCTGGAGGGACCTGGCACCCCTAGGTTGGCAACTGGGAACAGCAGCAAAGACAGGGGAACATCATGTTGGATAATGGCTGGTTATAATTGCAGTGAGGGAATGGGAGATGCAGAAGTAAGCGGAATTATCTTGTCTGCGCGAATCTTAAATTGACAGCTGCTGCTTTGGATCCAGACATGGTGATCGTAATAGTAGAAATTAAATCTAGAAAACTAGGTCTCCCTTCCCCCACAGGACTCCTGGGGAGAGAGACCATGGTTGGAGACACTCTAGTACCAAGCAACCAGGACTTTCTGTCTTGTCGCTCCTCAGCGTGTATGTACCCTCGCACTCTACACATGTGGAATAGCCAGGCCCTTCCGAAAAGCAGCAGGGAAAAAACGGTGGCCCCCTTTCCTGCATCCTCCAAATCCACCCTCAAAAGCCGTCTCTTCCTTGAAGCCTTTGACCTCCGTCCTTGTTAGATCGCGCTAACAAAGGATCGGAGAATGATTTCAGCTCAGTGATTCAGCTTTATTTGAAGTAGCAAGCAAACACTCAAACACATTCCAAAACCAGAACAGATTAACATTGGGAGCTAGGCTCCTTTTAAACAATCCCGGGCTAATATAGCCACGCCTATTTACAATTAACAACCAATAAGATTGCATAGTTCAAGACCAATGAGAGTCTTTCCCTCTCTGGAGACTGTACAGTTCTGATTGGTCGCTGTGGGAGGTCGACCAATAGCAATGTTCTTCAGAGGAGCCTTCATCCGGCTCAAGCTTAACATTGAATGTAAATGGGCCGATTCAAGTGAGGATTCCAATACATTACAATTCCTCCCCCCTAAGTTAAGACAACACCATTGTTTAAAATATTTACAGTTGATCGATAATACATACATCAGTCAATACGAAACACTTTATTGCAGTCATAATCAGCCAGGTACGATGGCGCTCGCCGCTCACGCTGAGACCTGCG